ACGTTTTTTATCATCCTAAAGAAAAAAAAAACAAATCTTGCATATTTTCGAAGAAATCACAATACAATAGGGAGCTGTGAATCCGGACCTAGCCGAGTTTGGAAGGACTCGCAGCTCCCTACAATATAGAATAGTGAAAATATTGGAAATATGATGATCAATTGAAAAACGAATACTCAACTATACAGGCAAGATTTTCATTGATTGTTTACCTTTATTTTTATAAATATAGAATAACATCTTGAGGACAATGTTACTTTTAAGAAAAGAAAATAAATTTTCAACATCCTAATGGAATATATACATTCATATTGATAGCAAAAAATGTCTAAAAGTATTTTAGAATATGAAGGTATGGATCTTCTCCTTAGCCACATTCATACCGTCACAATATGAATACTAGTGTAACAGATTGACAGTGTGTGCTACCGAAGATCATAACAGTATGATAAGAAAGGTGCACAAATGAATTACGAACTGATTCGATAAAACATTGCTGTGTATCGCACATATATATATTACTTTAAATTCAGTTCAATATGATTATAACTTACAAGATTTAAAGCTTCAAGTGGAAATATTGTTTTAATTAAACGATTAGTACTTCTGGATAAAACATGTTTCAAATCATTACTAAACGTATCACGATTTTTTTCAAGAAAATCTATAAAATAATAGAGAAGAAAAATCATTGATTATTATTTTTTTTCATAAAAAAAAAATATATACAGTGGGCCTCAAAATTATTCAACCACGTGTAATTTGGATTTTTTTTCGTAGCCTTAAGCGCTAGAAAGAATCCAAATGGTGATTTGAATAAAGAATATTGTTACCAACAAGAATTTGAGAAAATGATAATCGTCATGAATTTTCCTAAAATAGGATTTCTAGAAAACCAAAACCATGGTTTTTCAACATCCAGAAGCCACAGCAGAAGCATTGTTTTAACAGTCTAGAATTATAGAGCAGCCAGTTCTCTACAAAATGAGATGTCTCCGAGCTTTCTACGACATTTCCTTCAAAAGTTCTAAGCGTCACAAAAATCGAAAAAAAGTGAAATTTATGAGAAAAGCGACCAAAAACCGCATTTTTTCGATTTTTGTGACGCTTAGAACTTTTGAAGGGAATGTCGTAGAAAGCTCGGCGACGTCTCATTTTGTAGAGAATTGGCTGCTCTATAATTCTAGCCTATTAAAACAAGGCTTCTGCTGTGGCTTCTGAATGTTCAAAAACCATGGTTTTGGTTTTCTAGAAATCCTATTTTAGGAAAATTCATGACGATTATCATTTTCTCAAATTCTTGTTGGCAACAATATTCTCTATTCAAATCACCATTTGGATTCTTTCTAGTACTTAAGGCTACGAAAAAAAATCCAAATTACACCTGGTTGAATAATTTTAGGACCCACTGTATATATATAATTAACTATTAACTTACTAAGACAATCATATGTAACTGGTCCAGCAAAATGATTAACACCAAATATAAGTGTTCTATGTACTCGACGTGTTGATGGTGTAATAAAATTTTTATTTTTTCCATGTTGTTGTTGAAGTTTTTCCCATAATGTTTGATCTGTACCTTGTGGTACAATCATTTCTTCATCAATCATTGATATAATACTCATACGACCACGTGCTAATAAATCAATTATATCTTGATTATCAATAAAATTAATTTTTTTCCAATTAACACCTTCTTTTTCATATTCAGCCTTTAAAAAAGAAAAGAAAAAATTTTTTTGTTTTTTTTAGAAAAAAAAACAAACTTGTTCAAGTTTAAAAACATGACGAACAAAAAATTGTTGTAATTCTTCATTTGTATAATTAATACATAATTGTTCAAAACTAAATAAATAAATAAATAAATAAATAATTTTATTTTGATTTAAAAAATCTTTTTTGTAATTAACCAACCTATTTTGTTCAAATCTTTCAAAACCAAATATATCAAGAACACCAATTGATCGTAATTTTTCATCTGCTGATGTTTGACGATTTACATTATTTTTATTATTCATTGTTAAATTAATTCGTGCTATTAACCATTCAAACATTTGTCCATAAAGTCCTTTGACAAATGCATCTCTAGAAAATATAATTCAGATTAAAAAGAATTTTTTTATTTTTAATCTTACCTAACATCAGCAGCAGATGATGTATTCAATGTTCTTGCTACTTTACCTTCGTTAACTTCAAGTGTTCTTATAACTAATGCCTGAGTTAATTGTCTACTATCAACCTAATGAAATAAATGCTTAGTTAATTTTCTTTTCTTTTATTAACTTAGTTTTTTTTTTCTCACTTCAAGAAGTGAAGCAATAAATTCGACTAATTTTGGATCTTTTATTACTACAGTATCCATACCTTTTGCTGATTTTGCTATAAAATTAAACAAAAAAAAAAAAAAAATAACAACAATAAAAATTGTTAACTCAATTTCTGCAGAATCATGATTAAACTGATCTCATTAGCCACAGGGAAATTATTTTATTCTATTTAGTTTGGGGCATATTTGTTCATCATCGTTTTATATATTAACAACATTTGTCATGGCTTGTGACGGTATCTGGTCAGCATTTGTCACGATTTGTGATGGTCTCTAGCTAGCATCTGCCAATAGCCTGTGGGGAAGGATTCGAATTTTGACCCTATATACTTCAACACTCTGTTTAGATCGTGTTTAATAACTGAAGACAATATAAATGATGCCAAATTCATTAGATCTAGAGCAATAGTTCGATCACATATTTTTGTACTTGATAAGCTCTATTCGCCAAAGCGACAAAATAATATGTAAAATCAGTGAATAACCGAGACAAAAAAAAATACAATGCTTCACTTCTTCTATACATAGTCTTGGACAGATAATTTCCATTTTTATTCTCTGAGACTAGATTCAATGGTTTTTTTTTCTATTATTATCTAACTTATTTGATGAATATTTACCAATATATTGAATATTTCCAAGATGTAAAACAACAGCTAATATACGTAAAATTTCAAAAAGTTCGTCATCATTAAACATTAAAACTTTGCATGCATGTCGTATTGTTCTCCAGTCTTCAGCATCATTACGTGTTTCACATCTTGGTGAACTCTAAATATCTTTAAATCATATAAAGAACAAAAAAAAAAAACATCATAGATTATATTTATACTTTATTTAAATAAGCATAATCCATTACTGTTGTTAATCTTAATTTATGTCGTTCTTCATTACCTAAACCGGCTAATACACAATAAAATATATGATAATTTCGTTCTTCTTTTGCCTATTAAATTTCAAATAAATATTATAATAAATTATAATTAAAATAAATTTTTACTTGTGAAACAATACGAATTTTTTCTAGTAAATATTGATCAACATATGCATTTGCAATAGCACCATTACTATCAAAATGTACAGTTATATATTTACCAAATCGACTACTATTATCATTTCGAATTGTTTTAGCATTTCCAAATGCTATATAACAATGAATTATTTGTTTTCCTTTTTTGTGCTTTTATATAAATAAAATAATTTTTACCTTCCATAATTGGATTAGCTTCAAGTATTTGTTGTTCAATACTCGAATTTTTTTTTGTACCACTTATAGCAGCTAAACATTGTAAAATATGTTTAGTTGATTCAGTTTTACCAGCACCTGATTCACCACTAAATATATTTACATATATATATATATATTTAAAATATCCTCTGTAAATAATTTACCTGATAATAATACATTGATTATATTTAGCATTTGGATCACTATGATCACGTAACATATTTTGATAAGCATTATCACCAATAGCAAATGTATGTGGTTCTAAGTCACCAAATTTTCTATTACGATATGCACGTAAATGTTCTTGACTATATAAATCAAGTGGTGTATATGGATTAACAGCAATTAAAATTGATCCAATATAAGTCTAGGAAGAAAAAAAAACAACAAATCAATAATATATAATTGAAAAATAATTCTAAAAATAACTTACGTAGATTTTATCTTTATTGTAACGTAACAGTATATTACGACATAGAGCGCCTTCAGTTAAGTCACCTAAATGAATCATATCGGGGATATCAGAAAACGATGTTGCATGCATTTTTTTAAAATTTGCTGGATCATTAGGAATTGTTCGTTCCTAAATAATAAACAATTAATAAGATGAAGAAAATAAGTTTGTTTGTTTTTTTTCGTAATTTTTAAAGACCTTGCCATTATCATCAACAACTTTAAGTTGATTTTGATTAACATTAACAACTCGAGCTCCAATTTCAACATCAAATTCACCCTGTTTATCGGGTGGTAACCAAATGTATGCACTCTGAAAATAACATAAAAAAAAAAACAAAAAAAGCTTTTCCAAAGGCTTGACATTTTAACTTACAGTTGCCATATTGCAGATAGAAATAATACGTAAAAAAAAACCGACTGATTATTATTGTCGAACGATCGTATAATTACTCATTTTATGTCCTTCGTTAGAGGGTAATAGAAAAAAAAGATAAATGATTGATTTTTTTTCCTTTCTCGTCATATATTAAAGTCAGGCATAAGTACAAAATAAAAAGTGTAAAAAACGAAAAAAAAAAGGAGGAGACGACAGCCTCAATCAATCATGCGGAAAGTTATTTAGCACAAAAAAAGAAAGAAACTTTTGAACAACTTTATCAAATATTTTATTATTGATATTCTTTCGTTTAAAATCTCTTCATTATATAAAAAAAGAATCTTATCACCATCTTTTCAAAGTCTAACTCTTTTGGTGTTTTTTTTCTTCAATGAAAAACAGCGTCCTCTTTTGAATAAATCATAAATCAATTCAGTGGTTTTCTATTAAAAATCTATTGGTTTCTTTTCTCTTACTATTACACGAATAGATAGTAAACTAATGAGTGATAACGAAATATAGTTGTCGAATTACGGTTAAATAAAAAAAATAGAAAAATGCATCAACTTCATATAAACCGCAAAACCTAGTATTTTAGATATTTAATATTAATGTTTACAATTCGTCATTATTCAAAACGATTTCTAACACGTTCAATTATTTTTCGTCCTTTATCAGTTGGTATTACTAATCGTCAAAAAACTAATGAAGAATTTCAACCAACAATAAATTTAATTAAAGAAGATCTTCATTTAATTAATCGTGATATTTTACAAGTAAGTTTAATATTTATTTATCATAGTCTTTCATTTCTTTTTTGTCAATAAAAAAGAAAACAAAAAAACCTTTTCATCATCTTGATATCATTTATAATCTCAATACTATATGTGTAGTAATTATTTGTGTATTGTTCCTTTTTTGTTTTTTTTCAGCATTTGGGATGTTATGAAGAAGAATTAAATGAATTAGCAAAATATCATTTTGATACTAAAGGTAAACTTATTCGACCAATGATTATATGTACAATGGCAAGAAGTTTTAATCAACAAGAAGACAAGTGAGAAATATTAAAAATATTCAAGAGAGAAAAAAGATGGTTTAAGTGAAATAAGAAACAGTATTATTTTTTTTATCATTCTGTTTTGTATTAATTTGAAGAATTGCTTTATGGAAGAATTATAGACTTTACTTTTCGGTATTAGTTTATCATCAGCTGGACAAAGATATGATCTAATGAAAAAGAGTGATTGGTTCTGTTTTTTTTTGTTTCGAGTATATAAAAATTAAAATATATCTTACTCTTCTCTTAAAATAATTGTTAAATATTTATATTACATTATGGAAGCAAAATTATGAGATCAGCTAACGATCTGTCTTATCTATTTCTACATTTGGAAAAGAAGTTTTTTTCTTTTTTACTGACGCTCTATTCTTTTTTTTTTGCTTGCCTTGTTGCTTTGTATTGTCATATTCCATTTTTTTAAAAATCTAATATTATTATTATTATTATTCTAACCAATGATTTTGATTATTTCTCAAAGTTATAACTTAATCAATTCATAAGTTTTTATGTTGATTATATGATGATTGTGAAAAATTAATGCATCACTACTAAAGATGTATGGGATCAAGTTTTCTTGATCTCAGTCTAGAGAAAATTATTTCAGAATTTATTCGTATTACATCCAGAAAGAACTCTTCAATACTCGTTTGTTTTTTTGGTTGGCGACTATCACTTTTCTCGGCTATTGCTCTTGAATTAAGTTCTGATTAGTGGTTTATAGGATATTTAACTATAATCTATAGTTTCACTTGGAATAATTTTTTCTCGTAGTACCAGTTTTACATATCTCTAATCAGTATTCATCAGTCTGAGCATCTCGAATATCAATTTTTATCTGTACAAAAATGAAAAACTGCACTATTTAGAACATTTATCAAAGCATTTCAATCGTTAAAATTTTGAAGAAAACTTTGGAATGTTCTACAACAATCTAAGTCTTGTTGTTAATGATGTTTAGCACCTTTTCCATTGCTGTGAAACTCTGAGAAAGGAGTCTGATGTTTATTATCTTCGGTTGCTATGGAAACGTACTTAATGATCGTTAGCCTTTCTTGTTCCTTCCTTTTCTTGGTTGCTAGGGCTTACTCTATTAATGAAAAGGCGTTCTTTTGTAATTTCTTCAAACGATGAACGAATCAAATTTTAGATTATAACATCGTTTAGTATTCTTTAAGAGATGAAACAATTCAAACAGATGTATATACAAAAAAAAAATATTTGCAAAGCAAGAAGTGCAAGTTTTGTTTTTTATTTGCAAACAGTTGTATTCGTGATATCTGAAAGATTAAATGAAAATCTTATAGTTTTAAAAATATAAGCTATAAAAAAGTTTAAATTTCACTTTATTGAAAATATCTAAACACGACAAACATATCATTAGTTGTAGTAAATATTTATTTCTATTTAGTTTCCTACATGAAAATCAACGATCTATAGCTACACTCGGAGAAATGATTCATACAGCTAGTTTAATTCATGATGATGTTGTTGATTCAAGTGATCGACGAAGAGGTAAACCAGCTGCTGCTCTTCAATGGGGACCAAGAAAAGTAGATTTAATGATTTACGATGCTTTTATCAAATAAAACGAAAAATTTTGTTGATTTGTTTTTTTCTTTTGTCAGGCTGTATTAGCCGGTGATTATATTCTTGGTATAGCATCGATAGTGCTTGCACGTATTGGTAATAGTGATGTGATATCACTTCTTTCACGTGTTATTCAAGATCTTGTTCGAGGTATTTTATCTGCATTATTAATTCTATTGAAATATTATAGGAAGAAAAAAAAACGTTTTTTTTTTTGTTTTGCTTTTGTTCAGGTGAATTTATGCAATTGTCAACAAAAGAAAGTGATGCTGAACAGTTTCAAGATTATTTAAATAAAACATTTTGTAAAACAGCAAGTTTATTTGCAAATACATGTAAAGCTGTAAGTTAATAAAATTGAATTTAATAATTTTATGTTTGTTTTTTTTTTCAAAATTAATCTAGGTTGTATTGTTAGGAAATCTTTCAAATATTAATATAAATCAATTAGCTGATTATGCTTATGAATTTGGTAAAAATTTTGGTATGGCATTTCAATTAATCGATGATCTACTTGATGTAACAGCAACCGATGATGATCTAGGAAAACCAGCTACTGCTGATTTAAAATTAGGTTTATCAACAGCACCAGTGCTTTTTGCTAGTCAACAGGTTATATTATAAAAAATAAAAAATAAAAAAAGAAAATAATGTTAATTATTTATTTTTCATCTATTAGTTTCCAGAATTACAAACTCTCATATTGAGACGTTTCTCTGAATCGGGTGATATTGAACGAGCTTTGGAATTAATTGATCAAGTAAGTATGTGCTGAGACAATTCATTACAGAACATGTTACACTTAAAGTATCCTGTAGGAGCATTGAAAGTGGATGAATGAAAGTTAGAGAGCTACGCATTCGACTTTTTTCCTCCAATATTTACGTTATTCTGCCTTCCGGGGAGTACTTAAAAGCGGATAAAAAAAAATATTCAATAAACCGATCATAATGCGGCGACGAAGACCAATGAGAACGAACCATTTTAAGCTTTTGCTATTCTCACTGAAACCTACCTGTGAGTCCAATATAATCTCAAACGACAAATGCCACTTGAGTTAGTTCGCTCGCTTATTCAAAAAAGCATTATGAAAATCAAACAATTAATTGATGAATAAAATTCGTCAAACCACTAGTAACACCAAAATCTTCAGCTGTATGGAATAGTTTTACTTGTATTTATGTAAACGAGGTCAAGCAAGTAGAAAGCCTGCAGATCCACAAAAAATATGGATTCGAACCCAACAGAATGTAGGTGAAAGTACACAAAAATCTCTCACTCATACCAATATCCACAAATCTACGAAGTAGAGCATAAAATAAATTCTTATTTGTACACAGTAAATTTAACATAACTATATCTTTGTTTTATAGAGTGATGGCAAAGCTCGAACATATCATCTTGCTGAACAATATGCAAATGAAGCTTGTCGTATACTAAATAATTTTCCACAATCATTGAATGGATCGAACAGATTTCTTAAATTCTTAATATATCTTACTCAATCGACATTAAAACGTCGACATTAGGATAATTCTGTTTCTTTTTTTTTTTTATCTAGTTTACTAACATTTTTTTTTTTTGTTTGTATTTTTTGCTTTTTGCTGTGCTATCCTATGAATCAGTTGTTTTGTTGATTTAATTTAAGGAGAACAAGAATAGTTTGTTTATTCTTTTTTCTGTTTCGAATACATCTTCTAGATGTGTGCAAGTAAAAATCTCTTTCGAACTTTACAAGATTTTATAACATTGGGTCAGAAAACTGAAAAATTCAATCGAATATTTCAAGGCGTAAGATAAAAAAAAATTAATCATCGATAGTTAATTTATTTTCCTTTTTTTTTTTGTTTTGCTCCTCATATCAGATACGAGTAGTATCATCTCGAAAACCTGGACATGTTCAATGTGAACTTGATATTGATGAACAACATTTAAATCGTAATGGTAATTGAATGAAATATTTATTGTTTTTTTTTTTTTTTCGTTTGATTAAATTTTCCTTATTTAAAAACAAAAGATACTTTACATGGTGGTATGTTAACAGCATTAACAGACAGTGTATCGACATTGGCACTTGAGACTAATGAAAAAAAACCATCGAAATCTGCATCGATTGAACTTAGTGTATCGTAAGTTGAAAGATAATTTATAATTATTAATATATAAATTATTAATATCTATAGTTTTCTCAAAGCGATAAAAAAAGGTGAAACATTAATAATTGATGCTGACACAGTTAGATTAGGTCGAACATTGGCATTTTTATCAGTGGAATTTCGTAATAAACAAAATAATGAATTAATAGCAACCGGCAAACATACAAAATATATTAGCTGATATAAAATATCTGTATTTATTTAGATTTTTAGTTTTTTTTTATTCGTTTGCACTGTTGATTTTATTTTCTGTGTGATTGTTATTTATAGTTTTTGTAGCTAATAAAAGTCACATTATCTATAATATTTCTAATAGAAAAATTCTATTATATATCACTATATGGAATGAAATAAAATCTTGCAAGGTATTTTTGCAGTAGGAGTATCACGTGAACATAACAGATGTTGAATAGGAAATAAATAACTTGATATATATGGACTATTTCTAGCGAAACAGATCATATCTATCTGTCATTTGACTTTGATCCTTTAGCATAGACATATGTAAAAATGTTGGCATTTTCAGCTGACTATTAATTAAAAAGTAATTACTAAATATCTCTCTAATCATATGAGAAAAAGAAAAAATCTGAAAACTTCAAGATAGACTTTATGGCATGAACCACATCTATATTGAAATTTTTAGCAAGGTTGAATTTCAAAAAAAACTTCCTTTTAAAAATTCACTGTTTTTGGAGATCCTATCAAGTCCTGAAATTAAAAATTTTTGTCTTACCATCATCTAGAGATTCCGAAGAAGGATTTCTACCGGTTGAAATTAGCTTTGGATTTCTCATTCGATTATAAGAGCAGTTTTGTTACGTACCCCGTTACGTCGCTAACGAAAAGTAAATTAATAGAACAATTATAGCAAATACTATTCATTTTCTATGTATCAAATGGTGAAAATATATAAAATATGTTGAATATCTATGGACATCTACAATATTATCAAGGTTTTGGAATTTTCCTATAAATTTCGTTATGCGTTTTATTAATTGACAAATGTCAAATCTAAAAGAAAATTATTCTAATTTGACAATATCTTGATAAACTCTGATCTCGGCTTCGAAAATTTATGATTTTTAAAAATTGAATTTAATTGCATTGTTAGCACTGTAGTTGAATCAAAATTTCGTTTTATACACTTACATAGTTTAAAATATCAAGAATATACATCATTATTAATTTAGTTTCAATCACGACGTAGTCATAATCAACAATGGTTCATCAATCTGTGTTCACGCATATGATGGGCGATCAAACTCTATACAATGCGTTTAGAATCGAGGTTTTTGGAGCATTCCTCTCGAAATGATCGAGTACATTTTAAGAATCTGAAAATCAAGAAATTGCGAAAATGTTATGGTGTCTGTTGCCAAAACTTTTATTGTTGATCGATGCCGCACGAAGAATTAATGATTATGATATCATTTCATTGAAAAATATTTGCTCCGTTTTCTTTTTGATGTATTTGAAACCAACTTTACTTCTATCTTGTACGTTTTTTCTTGCTTTCTGAAATTCGTTCGAACTTTATTTTCAGACTTTCTATTAATTTACTCATAATTCCTAAAAGATGACTTTTACAAAAAATTCCGATTCTAATTTCGATGCTTTAAAATTGCTGCTAACATTCTGTATCAATCGAAAAATGGAGGAATACTTTGTTTCAAAATATTTGACTCATCTATTAAACTCTCCACTCTATTTTCATCATGATTGTATAATATTTCTTTTAAGACATTATATAAAATATTATATATTAGAAACGAAGGAATTGTTTTTCTTTCGATGTACTCTTTATGTCTGAATAGTGACCCTGAGTCTGTCGGGTATGTTCTCAATTTGTTTGTTTTTCCTACTTGCATGTTAATTTCTATCCGAACAGAACATCAGTATAATTAATATCTCGAAGGCAAACAGAACCTTCACCAATATTTTTATCGTACATATAATCACATCTATCATATGAAGATTGTCAATTGCACAACTACATTTAATAAAACTTTTTTTTTTTTTTTTTATTAAACTATGACATTTAATGTATTAGATTTTTATAAAGTTCATTATTAACTAATGAACAAAATAAAAATGATCGGCATGAATCACGAACAATGTAAACTTGTTAACAATAAAAGTAAAGTAAGTAGAAACAGATAATGACCAATACTACAACTGATGATGTGCTATATTATTATATTGTACATGGTCATTGACATGTAAATATTTATATGAGCTATAACAAGTGATAGTTTTGCTTTTCTATAGGTCAATAATATTTATCGATGTTTATAAGAATTGTATAGTACGCAATATATTGACAATAGACAAAAATTATATTATGAAACTTGATCTTCTTTTAAGTTTGATGACATTTGGAAGAAGAAGAAGAAATACACGTGGTGAAGATAATCTATTAGGAGTTCTGTTAATAGTTAATATCTAATACAGAATGGCCAAAAAGTAAGTGAATACAGACTTTTTTCGATTTCTTCTTTGTACATAGAGAATTAAGCCTCATATAATATATTAGGTGATACTAATCAAAAATATAGCATATGATCAGTCTTTGAGTGCAATGATTTGTTCAAAAGCGTACAAAGAAGAAATCGACAAAATTCTATGTTTGGTCATTCCACATTTATTAGAAATGAGATTTTTTGTCAAATTTAAAAAAAAAAATTTTTTTAAGTCATGTAACCAACAAAATGTTTCATCAGTAAAAAACGTATTTAATAGCAGACTGGCCAGGTAATCAACATTAAAAGATACAATATATAGGTTTACTCAGTATGTAAGGGTGTGAGTATCGGTATCGACCTTCCTGATAGTAGTATCCACACCATTAGTCAACTAAGGAAATATGATAGTTACTGAACACTCAATTTTATACTGATAATTTCTATGTAATATTGACCAGAAAACCACCCAAGATGATACCTCGCGTTTGCGATGAAACTCCAGTCATTGCGTAGGATCTATTGAAATTAGAAAGATTCTTCCTCATCGGTACTCTTTTGTAGTTATGGCCGTTACACAGGATATTTTAGCTTTGGCACAGTACTTATTAAAAATTCAGTGTAATGATCATAACTTCAAAAAAGGCAGTGCATATGGAAGAATCCTTCTAGTTTCAATAGACTCTACGTAATGATCTGGATCTTATCTCAAACGCGAGGTATCACCTCGAGTAGTTTTCTCATGAGCATTTAATTTTTCTCTTTTTTTTTTTTTGTTTCAATTGATATACACTAACATGATCAAATGTACTTCCTTTGAACCCAATATTTTGATTTCCTTGTTTTTTTTTTCGCTTCGAGTTATTTCATTATTTTCTTCTATAGCTTCTTCATCTGATGAATCAGGTACATAATGAATAACTTATACTACTTCCATTTTTCTTTTTAATCATTGATTATAAAATAGCAGTATGTTTTTTTTTTCTTTTTTTCGTACTTTTCATTTCGTCTATCATTTTATGTCATTATTTATGTTATTTTTCTTCTTTCTGTTTGATATGTATATAATACATTTTTCTCTTCTTGATATATTTGACAAATGATCTTCTCTTATCGTTCATTATTATCTCTAGAATAGCGATTACTAGAGACTCATTCCATTATTCTCTTGTGTATATATTAGTTAATCTCTATTGTATTGGACTTTAGTCCGTAATTATTCCAAATGATCCATCAACTGTTTCTCATTTTGCTGAATTTGCATAAAAAAACAAACAAAATATCGTAATGGAAGTCGATATGAACCATTGAGTCGGCAAGAAATATATGTTATTCAATAAGCATTACCATTACAAATTAATGCAAAAATCAAAAATCAATTTGTTATGATTCAATAACTATAACTGAAAAAGTTTGTTTAGAATTAACAAGATAATTAAATATGACATTAACATTTGTTTGGTAAATTATTTATTGAATCAAAACTAGAAGTAAGATTTTTTAGTTTTTATTTAACAAATTTTTCATATATATATATATTTATTTGGTTTTAATAGTGATCATTTATTTGATAAATTATCTCATTTCGAGGACGATTCTATTTTTATTGTTAGTATTCGAGTTAATGATTAAGATGAGTTTACATAACCAATCTAGATCATTCATAAAATGAAAATAGTAATCGATAAAACTAACAAAAATTATTCTATCGCTTATAATAGGATTGTATACCTTCTCAGAAAGCGATCAAAGAAAAACAAAAAATCGGAAAACGAGTCTACCGTGCATAAATAAAACTAAAATAGATTGATAGTATTTAAATCGTTTGATGACAGTTTATAAATAATTGAACAAATTGCTAAGGGGCATTTCTAACAAAGATTATTTTTGTATTATTTCATGTACAAATAAATCAAAATCAAAAGTTTTGGTAAAAGAATTTTTATTTTCGTAAAATTAAATTTAGCGAGATCTTGTTTTATATGTAAATAGATTGAATAAGAAATTCATATTAATTTACATATATTGAAAGTTTATATTCAGATATATTTTCATTCAAAAAAAAAAACAAAACAACAGAAATTAAAAGAACTATTATTACATCGATTTGAAGGATAAACTAAGCAATAGAAACATTTTTGTACTTTAATGACTTATACAAAAATTCAATAAAAGTGATTTGGATAGTATATTTAATTATACATTGGAGAAAAAAATGCAAGTCATAATAACCAGCTATTAGTGTAGTCTCTATGGAATTAAAATATCGAATATGATATAGTTGCTATTGATAATCACAAAAAGATTACTTTTATCTTTCTATTTAGGGACGCATTTCATCGCCGTCCATTTTATTTAATAATCCGGAAATGTAATAAGGAAGTACGATCCTTTTAATAGTATAGTGTACTTCGCTGTTTTTATTTGTTTGAATAAGTTTTAATAGAAGTATCAAAGATATTTGTGATTTTTATCATTCAAACATGGAGATCTGAGAACATCGAATTATATGGAAATTTGATTGGTCAGAAATTGAACAATTAGATGAGTTCTTAGTGTAGACTGTCGAAAACGGCTTTCGATTTAGATTTTTATTAGAATTATGCGATAGAAGAAATTCTTCTCCTTCAATCGATGTTTCTAACTTATTTTCTTTGAGAGTTATAAAACTTTTCTCAAGATCCCTGATTTCAGTCAATTGATCTGTGATCATCCGAAAAATTAGCAAGTCAGAGGTAATTCATCATGCTAAATATCATTTTCGAAAATCTCCACCAAGAACTCATTTGATCGTTCAACTGCTAACCAATAAAATTTCAGTGTATTTCGATGATCCCGAATCTTCTCTCTTGAATAGATAGTAGTTCATATATTCTAAGGAGACGTTATTAATATACGATCTACGAGGGTTCGACATTCTTTAGCTTTTAACAGGTATCAATCGTATACAAACGTAAATATGTTTTGTTTTTATGAATTCTTATTTAAATTCGTTTAGACAATGTGAACGTGTTCGTGGTTGGCATATTATTGAATATAATACAAATATCAATCGTATCAAAATTCGTCAATATGTTCATTTACCAAATAGACATGAACAAGATTTAGTTGTTGAGTATCATTGTTATTTATATATAAATATTGTCAAAGTTAGTATTCCAAGTAATATGTTCTTTTTTTTTTTCTTTTAATTTTCTAACATAACTTCATAGATATGATAAGAGTAAAAATAAGTTATTGATGATTTTCATTATTATTTTATAGAAAAGCTTAATTATAAAAATTATTTTTTGTTGAAAACTTTTGATTGTTATGATATCGGGTGATGACAAACAAATTGATTTATTTTTATCAAGAAAAAGATAATTATATGTTAGATCTACTCAAATTACATGTCGATGAAGTAGCTACTTTTAGATAAGTCATTAAGCAATGTCGATGGAAACAATGAAATACCAATGTCAATCATATTGAGTTTTTTTTTTTTTTCATACAAGACTTTTAGTAGATCTTGTTCGAGAACATATAATTAAATTAATATTACATGCAGAATGGATTAAGATACATATACAAGATAGATCAACTTATGATACAACAATGTTTTTTTTTTTGATTGGATTGAAACTATTAAAAAAAAAAACATAAAAACATCGGAGAGAAGAATATTGATCATACTACAATTATAAACGAAAATAATGTTTGAATTATTACTTGCATAGAGAAGTATAATTTAATATTTGCACAACACTTATACGTCGTTCACTAAAAAAAACTATATCAACATGAGTAAATAAAGATGAAAAAATTACAATAATATATTTATGACATCCACATAAATCAGTACATTGAATTTAATTTAATTAACAATAATTTTCAAACAATATTTTCTTTTGGTTTAAGTTTATTTGATTATTATATATTTTTCAGATATTTATGAGATACTTTTTTTTTTAATCTTTAATCAACATAATGGATACAAATATAAAAGTAAGAAAATGATTTGTTTTGATAAATTCTATTGAAATCTTTTTTTATTCTATTTATGATTGATTATTTAGATTTTAATACATGATGATTAATTAATAAATGTTCATGACTTTTTTCTTTTGTAGTATACTTATATGACTAGATAGATTTCGTCGAGCTTTACAATAACATATATATCAAAAAAAAAAAAGGTAGAAGAATTTTCTCTTGGACATACAGTTTAGAGAAAAAAAAAACCTATCATGTATTTTGTCTATCGAAAAAAGTTTCTTGAGAGTTTTAATAAAGCTAATCTTTTTCGAATATTTCTTTTTGTTCCAGAAATTTGAGGAGGAAATATTCACAGTCAGCATGTAAAACTCCATGTGTTCGATTACGATCGAACTGCGACGCAGTTACATTGTAAATGCAATCGTACTGTGACCCATAATTGCGAAAAACTGCGACAGAGTTACACGTAACTGCGATGAAAAAATCGTATTTACGGCGTAACGGCGTCGTAATTTTTCGCAACTACGGGTCAGAGTACGATTGCAGTTACAGGGTAAATGCGTTACAGTTACTAAAAAAAAACAATCATTGGTTAGGAACTCAAATCTGAAGTTCGATATTTTATTTTGATATTTGTATTCTGAATTAATTTTATTTATAATAAAAATAGATTGTAAAATTAAAATAAAAGAATTAAAAAACTAAATAAAAAATAAACTCTGAAATGAAAAATTTGTGAAAAATCTAAAATGAAAAAGTGTTAAAATTGATAATAAAAAATACTTAATAAAATGAAAATCTCGTCTCCGATTCGAATTCACGATTCCCGGAAAACTTCGTAGACAACATTTTCATTTCGAAAATCTGAATTGTGGCTGGATACTGTACCGACTGTAGAAGGATGAAATATGAACCATATTATCACAATGGCTTTCTTTTATACAGTTGTCGTGTAGTTAAGTCTTAGCGCTAGGGTATGACCAATTACAAATAAGCAGAAATCGTTTGTGATTAGTTCTATCAAATACATTGGCTCGTACGATGCGAGTACTACCGCATAGTTGCGTGCATCTGCGTCGCAGCTGTAATAAAAGAGGCGACATGGAACTATATCTAAAACCATAGATTAATCCATGATTTTAGATATAGTTTTACATAATGAGTCTGAACATTTCCTCTCCAAACTTCTAGAACAAAAGAAATATTCAAAAAAAGAAGATTAAATTTATTAAAAAGTCTTAGGAAGTTTTTCTCGATAGAGAAAATGTACAATCTTTCATATTGATAATAAAAGTTTGTTTTTTCTCTAAATTCTATGTCTTAGAAAAAAACGTCTTTCACATTTTTTTTTCATATGCATATTATTGTAAAGTTCGGCTTAGTTTTAGAATTCTTAGCAGCTTATTTAGAAGAATACAATGTTAAATATAAAGCATAATTTGCTTCTTTTCAATTATCTTTTATTTTTTCGGTTTCAACATAATAAAGCCCTTTATATCTTAAAAGATTTTGAGTCTTCATGTCTATGCTATCATGCACAGAAGCATCTTGTTATGATGTCCTTAAAAAAAAGCAGCCATATGTGTTTTTGTGCTCTAAATGATAGAGTTTATAAGTTCAATCTGGTTTTTTTTTATTTAATTTTCCATTAGTAAATGAGATTATTTTACTTATCCGAAGCTTAGATAGCGGATAGAGAAAAATGTAGTATATATTCCAATGCAAAAACAAAATAGAAACGCATCATACATAAGACGAGTATTCTTCGAATCAGACGCTAAAAGTTTGGTAAAATTCTATTTAAATAATTTCGATCTTTCCATATAGTTAAGTAGTTGAACAAATAAAAGAAAAGTAAAATTTATATTTAATCACTATTACATAACTCAACTACTAGTGTTGATGCTTGATCATCTTTACTAATGGAAATATGCTAAGAGCTGTGTTATTAACGTTCGAGATCACTCAAAATAAATAGAATTATTGATGAAGAAATACTTTATAGTGAAAACATTCTATTTTTAGTTCTATTTAAATTTAGTAGGAATTATTTATCAAATAAAACAAATAAATAAATCTGAAAAAGTAGCGTGTTTTATAATGAAAAATAAAAAAAGAAATTTTTGTCTTAATAGCTAACGTGTCATGCTAACTTAAATACACATTGAGAATAATTTGAGTGTCTTTCATATCTTTTCTTGACAAGAAATGCGTTCTTAGATATAGAAGGTATTCTTCAGGGAATATGCCCTAAGGCACGTTCTCAAAGATACATTATTTTACTTTACCAATGTAATCTTCAATGTAAAGAACATATCTGAATGCTTAGAATGAAGTGCATAGATCAAATATAGTGACGACATTTTACTGAATATGTTCTTATTTGATAAAAGACTTCTTCGAGTGTGATATATTTGACATGTATAACCTTTTAGTTATGTCTACAAAAACGAATTCTTCTCGTAAAGAACTACTTTCATGCTTTCGAGAGACAGGTTTTAATAAAACAAACACACTTTTTGTTGGTGATTGTCGGAAATGCAAAATTTCTTTTTTTAAATATGGTTAGGTAGAATGTGACAATCTGATCAAGAATATTATGTGTTTTCATTTTATTGGAATAAGATCGTAGGGGGAAAAAAAAATTCAGTTTTTTTTCAATGATCTACTTTGTTTCGAAAAAGAAGGGACAATTTTTAATAACCGACAAATTGTCAATTGTTTGTGCGTTTTCTTCAAATTTTGAAAACTGTTCATTTCAGATTCAGCATCAAAAACTAAATCTAAGAAAGTTATTGTGAATGATTTATCTATTTCTCAGAAAAAGTATGTTATTGAAAAAAATTGAAATTTTTCACCTAAAAATTTCTTCGAATAAAATGAAAAAATATATATTCTTGGTCAGATTGTCACGTTCTATCTAACTATATTTAAAAACAACAATTCTACTTCTATTTTACATTTCCGACACCTTATAAATAATTACTTCCTATTAACATTTTCTCATAAGTCGACACAATGTCAAGATGACTGAAGAAAATATTGTTTATGTTGAACTTCAATATTAATATGTATATCAATGCTTTTGAAAGAAAATCAATAAATCAAAAGAAATCATTCGAAAAAAGAAACTCAATTATTAAAAGAGTCTTCTTAATTGTTTTTCTTTTTTTTTATTCATTTATTTGAGAAGCTTCTTCTAATATAGCAAGAATTTTATTATGCGTTACTTTTGTCTTTATTTAAAGAAAATAGTAAAACAAAGAAGAAGAGTAGTATTGACAATTTTAGTATCCGTTTGATTGAAAGAGGTAGGAATGAATATATTTCTTATTCAGGAAATTACAAAAAAAATTTTTAGTTTTTTTTCTTTTCAAAAAAATCTCTACATCTTGTATTATTAATACATACTTGTAAATAGAAAAATTTGTTTTTTTTCGTCCTATGTTATCATAATAAGTATGAAATAATTCATTTTACCTTATATAATATTTTATAATTAATCTTTTATTTTGAAAGAGAAAACAAAACAAATTTTTCGTACTACTAATTTTTTTGTTTTTGTAAGACCAAATGTTATTTTCTTTTGCATGAATAGATATTTATAGATTACATGTCAAGATAGTATTTTAATCAACAATAAAATAATTTCTCTTCAGATAAAAAAAAAAAAAATATTAATATATCCTTGTCAATATGTCGAATATATAAAATGAAATCCTTGTTTACAAGAAATGATCTACATTTTCTGATTTAGAAAATGAGACTATCTATCATTTGCTATTGGTTTTTCTTTTCTTTTTTTTTTTGGTTTCTTTTAAGCATAGCTTATAGACATTCTGTCTGATAGAATGTATGAACATGAATATTGTGAGTACATTCTTTTCTTTGTCTCTCGAAGTTTATTACTAACTCTTTTATCTTATGTTCATAAATAATATCTTTCGCGTATATTTAAGTAATAAGATAGATCATTTTTTTTTTCGAGATTTTCTATTCAATTATTTCACAGACTGGAAAGAGATTTTAATACAGCTTACAAAATGTACGATTATTTTATGGATTATATATTAAGACGTAAAAGTCTACTATGCATCTTTTTCTGTGGGCTTTATCTCTTGGAAGAAGAACAAAGATTGATAATAATAATAGTATGGCTAGAAGGAATAGAGTTCATATAATATTTTGCGTAGTTTTATTTTGTTTTTCTTAGCTAAAAGAAACTTGCGAATATTAAGAAAATAACTTTAGAAATAATTAATGTATTTTTCTTTTTTCATAATTGTTAAATGGAATTTAAAAAAAGGATTTAATGTTTTTGAACTATTCTTCCATAAAAATATTTTTATAACAATAATGTTCATTAAGTATGCATTGTTTTCTTCAAAGTATCAAGAAGTGTTTATATAGTTTACACATGTCTTTTATGCTATATTTAGTAGT